TGTCTGTATATGTAGGTATGTTTTTTTTTTTTTAATATCTAACATATTCGATTCCTTTTTAACTTGAAGGAATTTTCATATATACGAGATAAGTGACAATGCGTCACATCAAAGACTTTCTGTCACGTCTTTAAAACCATCATGAATTTTTAATGACATATATACAAACAACACTTCATATTATATACATGAAAATATATTCGTATATATGTATATATATATATATATATGTATGTATGTATGTATATATATATATATGTATATATACAATATATGTATTATATATATATAAAGTTTTAACATTATGGCACCGTATTTCTTTATTTTTTTATTTTATTTTATTTTTTTACTTCTTTTCCTCCTCTTCTTCCTCCTCTTTCTCGTCTCAAATAAATGTATTCTGTTTCTTCTAGTTTGAAAATATAAACAGATATTTCTTACTTTTTTTTTATGTTTGTTTCATTTCTATTTCTTTCCTATATATTCTTTTTTGTATTTAAAACCATACTGTGAGGTATGGCAATACCAAACAATGTATATATGCATATCATTATCTCGTTCATCATTATCATTATCATCATCATCATAATCATCATCAGCAACAACATCATCTTCAACATCATCATCAGCATCATCATTATCATCAGCATCATCATCATCATCATCACCATCGTCATCAATATCAACATCATCATTATGATTATAATTATCATCGTCATCATCATTTTCATCAATTTCATCATCATCATCATTATCATCGTTATAATCATCATTGTGATCACTTAAAAATGAATAAGTGTATATATTTTGTCTCGCGGGGACGTTAAAATGAGTTTTAGTTTGTTTATTTTGTTTGTTTGTTTGTTTATAATAATATACTGGAACTCACAAGCACTATATGCCGTTGTACGTCGAGGTATGAAAGAATTGGGTGCAACAATTGGATTGACATTAAGTCGCCCATCCTTCCGTAATCCTGGACCGTTTCATAAGCGGTCCATTTTCATAATCCGAACTATTTCCCCCGTTGGCAGCACTACCAGGATGACTCGTCGTTCTGATATCACCAACTGTCCCACTACCCGGAGATGGTAGATTTGTTGGGGTTATGCTACCCGAGTGGGATGGTGGTGGATTACTGCTTGGTCTGCTAGATACTAAATTTAATGTCTGAGGGCCGGCATGTGGTACGTGATGAGGGGGTGGGCCACCTGTACTAGACGAAGGACCAACATTCAAGTTTGTATGATGCAAATTACTGGCATTACTTGGCCCTCCACTTGAACCACTGTTACCTCCTCCGTGCGGATCTCGTGGTGGACTTATCGGTTCACTTTTTATTTTCACTGGCAACGGTGACGTCGATGGCGGCGGTGTGCTACTCGAGACAGCTAAATGAGGAAGACCACTGTAATAATATCGAAAATACATCTCAGTTTTACAACTCTATTTTTACACGTTCTGTTTTTGTTTTTATTTTCCCGTAATTTTTTCGTTTAGATTTATACATGAGAAGGTTAGAGTGATTTAGTTTCAGTTAAATAATCTATTAATGTTTGTTACAATTTGATAAATGTTTTTAACTACCGTTATTATTGTTAATTTAATTCGTGACTTTACTGATAAGCTGATTAACAAGCATATGGTCTATGTATCGAACGAACGATTAATTATTATTAACATATATGACACGAACTGAAAGTAAGTGTACATGCGTATTAGTAAACGATTCTAATGGAAATCCTTTAGGAGTAAATTTGTTTTTTGATTTTATTTAAATGGCATGCCAAACACATACTTTGTCGAGAAAAAACTATAAAACTTCCAGTGGAATTTTTCATAAATACATAATAATATTATCGTAAAGTAACTGAGGTTTGATCGACGTTTTATTAAAAATCTTTATATCTTTTTTTCATTTATGAATCTAAATAAAATTCATACCCCATCTGGACAGGAATAGTTTTTTTTCGTAAGAATAAGAATGGAACATGATTTACCTGATGCTGGACATGGTGGCTGCCGAATACATTGATAAGTCATCAACGTACCTCTGATGAGACCATGCAAGACTTCCTAGATCTGAGGAATAGTCCGTGGGACCAAAACTGGAATATCCAGCTGGTACTGAAGGTGTCTGTAATGCTACTACCGGTGTATTCAATGCAGATTGTGTGTGGCCGCTCTATAAAATCCCCCCAAAAACATAACAAATATTATCATATAAACATAAAAAAAAAAAAGTATAATAAAAAAATAATAAAACGATTAAAATACATCGATCGAACTTTCATCTATTTATATAATTCAATCTTTTATTTATTTATAGCATTGCTATAATATGATTAAAAAAAAGAAACAATAAAGTTATATAATAATAAATCGTAAGTTAAAAGGATTATTGTCATTATTAAAAGACTATAAAATAAGTAGTAAATAATGATACTCACGTCATAATTGGTGTCTTCAGAAAGTGGTTGTGTGAGTGGTGTCGGAATAACTACTCGAAGGTTAGCTCTGTGAGGATGTGGTGGTGGTGGAGGTGGTGGTGGTTGTGGTGAATGCCTTGATGGATTACTGCCTTTATTCGCGCTACCTCCACCAACTCCAAGTGCTGGTGAAGGTCCTGGACTAGGTGATCCACCTAACGGAGAAGCTGATGGAGGATACCCATTACTCATTTCTAACATTCCTCCTGGTGGATAAACTGTAAACAGGTAAACTCATTATTAGCGATTACATTTTTGTCTTTTTCTTTTTTTTGTTCTATGGGTTTTTTTGTTGTTGTTGGTGTCATTCGAATATTAACCTGAATCTGTTTCAGATGATGAAGGTCTGGGAGAAATGCTGGTGTGTGCCATTTGAGGACTAGATCCAAGTAGCGATTCACCATAACTATTAACTGGCACAGTTACTGGTAATGTGTAATTAGATTGTCCCATCCCCTGTAATCAAACATTATACATGTAATTTACATTCTGCATTCATCATGTGAAGTTCATGAAAATCACTAATCTTATGTTAGACCGGTTTCCACTCGAACTTTATTACTCTGAAAATGAAATCTGATATGGAGTAAAGGTATGATCGAATGAAAACGATATTCTATTTTGTTGATTCATAAAAATCAAGTTTTTAAGTTATGAATTTTAGTTGAATAAAATGATACTTTTATAAGTAGTCACGCTATCAGTTAAATTAAAAAAAAAAAAAAATACGAAAAATATTTCTAACAAATAAACTATTCAATATTATTTATTTAGATATAAAATACTTTAAATTATTCAACAAGACATTTAATAATAATTGAATAATAAACTACTAAATAGCAACCCCTAATTGAAGATTAAAATGGACTCATTTTAATATCCTATATAAAAATATTTTTAACAGATATATCAATCAATACTTTAATTAAAACTAAAATATTACAATGTAATTATCAATCAATCAATCTAATAATAATAATAATTGAACTATAAACTCTTACTTAAAAATGATTCATTTACCAAGTTATATATACGAATACTTCCACATATACTTCTTTTTAATGAATTATTTAATAAAGCAAAATTTTGCACACACACAAAAAAATTAATTATCAATTAATCCCAAAATAAATCAATCGGACTCGACTAAATAAATCAAAATATAAAAAGGAAGAGAAAAGAAAAGAAAAGAGAAAAACAAAAAAAAAAGAACTAGAAAGAACGTTTTGCAAGAAAGAAATAAAAATTGTGCTTGCGATTTGATTAAGTATGGAGATCACGTACCCTTGTGCCATTATGCTGGTGCCTCTGCATCATCATCTGAAATTCTTCGTCGATCTTGGTGTATTTGGCCTCGGTACGCGGGGTAAGATTATACTCGATCGCGTCGGGTTCCGGACTCTCCGGAGACATGGCACCCTTATGTTCCTTCTTGTTGAGCGCCTGCAAGTGTCAGCAGACAGGTTCACGTGACCACACCGCCCGAGGGCACTCAACCTTCACATGCACATTAATTTAACACTAACACACATATGTACGCGCGAGCATAAGCGCGCGTACATATTCTTCCTAAGCACTTAGGTGGAAAGACGCGTACGACCTCGCGACGCATGTATTCGCAGGTGCAAATTATAGGTGTGCAACGATAGAAAAAAAAAGAAAGGAAGAAAGAAAGAAAGAAAGAAAAAGCAAAAAATATAAAAATTAATACTCAAGATATGAACATGTAATTCCTATGAGTGACATCGTCCTTACACTTCAAGTACAAATTGCTAAAGGAAATAAGTATTAAAGAAAAAAAAAATAAAAAAAAAAAAAATAGAATTATTAAATACACTTAATTATTATTGTCACGATTAAACAGTATACACTTTGTTCGAATAGATTGTTTAATTATCTTTTGCTTTTCTTTTTTTTTTTTTCAAATTTATTTCCACATATACGCGAATTATAATTAAAAATATTAATAAAAATATATTTTTAAAAAACGTTTGAACAAATTCTAACTTTCAATAAACACCGGCAACGTTAGTTTTATAAATACAATACAAAAAGAAACAATTGTAAATGTTTTCATTAAAATACTAAAATCTGTTAAACGATTATTACATTTTGAAAAATAATGTTTGACCAATTTGTACGGAAAATTATGTTCGTATTAATACTACTTAATTACTTTCTCTCTTTCATTCTTGTTTGCTTATTTTTTTATTTTTTTTTTATTTTTTATTCAAAATTTATTTTCTTTTACTTTTCTTGAATAAATCATTTGTGGATAACGACCTTGCGAATACCATGACCTACATCGAATGATTTCCAACATTTCACGTATTTCTCATTACCTCACACATCTATCTATGTTCTCTATATATATATATATATGTGTGTGTGTGTGTGTGTGTGTGTGTTATAATAAAATAATAAGATATTCTATTCTTATTTATGAATCATTTAACATTGTCGCCCCAAGTGTTGACATGAGAACACGTGTTTCTTCGTTAAATCGTTCAAATTGTTTTAAATTTGTATTTTAATGATCGTTAATAAGAAATAAGAATGATTCGTCGAGGATGGATTAATTTTTTAAATAAAATCGCGAAAAAGATGGAGAAACACGTTTACGCCTCTAAACAGACATCGATCCTCCTTCAAGTAAAACCTGTTCCGACTTTATGATCGATTCGAATCCGCTTCGAGGAAGACGTTTTGTAAGAGAGTGCACTTCCACTTGGGCCTTGGCATTACCTTTCGCAAGAAGAATTTAACGATCAACCACGTGTGCCTGCTAACTCTTTTAAATATTCGAATCTCCTCTATCTGAATTCCCATGCATCTCCATCTTTCCATGTCTCTTACTCTCTTTTTTTTTTTCCCCCGACGATTCTTTCACTCTTTTTATATTTTTATTTAGGTTTATAATTTTTCAAAGTTTTTTTGTTTGATTTTGTTTAATTTTTTTTCTCTTTTTTTTTTTTTTAATTACGGAATTTTAATTCGTATCATTTCTTTTCTTTTTTTTTTTTTTTAATGATCGTTCAAAAAGATTTTTTGTTCTTGGACTACAAATAAATTTGTCTATACATTAATAAGTTAATTTAATTCTAGGAGGCTTTTTTTTTTTTTTTAATTTAATTCAATGTTTTTTAATCACCGAATTTTACGTGCTACCTTTTCCTTCACGTTTTTCTCATTGTTAAATATTTGTATATGAACTCTGAAGTTAATTTATTCATTTATTTTTTTTTCTCTCTCTCTCTCTTTATTTTGATATCAATTATTTAATTAATATTCTATTGTTTCTGTTGCAAGCAAGACAACTATGGTTTTATTAAATTATATATTATATCATTTGTTTTATTGTCTGTTTATATTGTGTACGTGTTCAATATTATTTTATTTGTATTAATTAATGAAGTTTATGCTTTATCATTATTTACATATCCTTCGTTCAATATTATTACTACTAACATATATATATATATATATCTGTTAATTTATTCATCTCTTTTTACAATGTGTGTGTGTGTAAATTAATACTTATTAATTATATTCAAAGCACGAAGATCAATATGATAAGTAGAGCTCGTATACTATATGAATTTAACGAAATTTCATTTCAATTTATTATTCGAATATCCTCAAGTATACACACATTTCGATTTTCGATTTTCGATTTTCGATTTTCGATTTTCGATTAACTCATGAATATAACAAATTTTTTTTTTTTTTTAAAAGGATGACATTTAATGAAATTCCTATTGAAATCCATAATATGAATTGATCGAATGATTTCTGATTTCATTTGAAAAATGTTCAAAAAGTAAAACTACAAAAATCAATTAAAATAAAAAATAAAAATTCAACTAATCAAATTCTTATAAGTATATAAATACTATATTAATATATACAAATAATTATAAACGTTTAAAACTAATTGTTTAAAAACTTTTTAAGATCGAAGTAAAAAATTATATTTAAAAAGGATCTAATTTTTCAAATATCAATCACTTCATTTTTCCTATACAAGGTGACTCATTAATATATAACACTTACACAAAATGATATAATCAAAGGAACAGACAAATAAATTCTACATTTTATTTTCTTTCATTTATGAATCAGTAAATATATTTGATTGAAACATTGCATATGTATAAAAATTATTTGTAAAAAAATATAAAAAAAAATAAAAAAAAAAGGGGGGGGGATCGAATGTATCGCGTTAACTATTCCTACAAAGTGCAGCGGATAAATCGACTCACCTCGATGATATTCTTGTTGGTGAGGGACTCATGGGGTTCGTTGTACTCTGTATACTTGAGAAGAACCTTGTCCATGTCGGTGCTCGCATACTGGTACAGCTTGTTGCTCGAACTGAAGATAATCAGTGCAATCTCGCAATCGCATAGTACCGACAATTCGTACGCCTTCTTCATTACCCCGAATTTCCTCTTGTTAAAGGTCACCTAGTGTGCAAACAGAGAAATCATTTATGGCTAATGTTCTACTCACTTACTTCGTCCAATTAAATTAAATCTATCTCTAAACGTTTTATTTCTTTTCATTTATTTTCATTCATATAAGTTAACGCAATTTATAATTAATAGTTAATATAAATAGTAAAAAAAAAAAAAAAAAAAAATACAACAAGAAAAAAATTCATCAAGTTTGTTAGGAAAGTAATTTCGTATTTTCGATGGTAAATAAAAAACAAATGATATTTTTCAAATTTAAAATCCAAGATGACATTTTAATTGATCGTGAGGAGAATGGTTGGTTGAATTCGATCAATTCAATTTCTCTGTCAGTTATTTAACACGTTTGTTATGCGACAATTAAACATACCCCCGCAGGGCCTTTATTTTACCCTCATTTTTCGTTAATTGGACGATCTAAACGTGGTGCACCTTCCTAATCGAAATTATCAAAACGAAATTTGGAAAACATATCACTTTGTTCTACCTTGTTTAACTTTATTACCTTTATGGCAATAGAAAAGCAAAATATTATGAAAATAATTGATTTTCATTTTCAATTTCAATGCCAAACATAAATAATTGACGAATTACATCTGTTGACAGAATGTAAAATAATTGTAAGAATTAAAATCAGATCAGGTAACAAGGTAAACCTAATTTTAACGGAATTTCTCTGCGATAAATGAAATGACTTTTCAAAAAATTTATAGATAATAAAGATAATCATTTTTATGGTTCAATAGTTTCTTCAGTTTTTAAAATAAATTATTTCATAATTAGTATATTATTATTCGACGCTTAATCTTTTAACATGTTTGTATAAATCAATCAAATTTTGTATAATTATAATCTTACGTTTAATTCATTTAAATATATTCAGTAGAAATTTCATAATTAATTTATTTGAAAAAAAAAAAAAAAAAATATTATGTGCATAGGTGGAGAGAGATGTTTATTTATTTAAAAATAAACCAAAAAATATTTTACAATTATTACAAAATAATTAATGTTAAAAAATGAGGAAACCTTATCGAAGCTTAATTTACTTTTTTTTCTTTTATGAATTCATTTTTACAATCGCCAAACAACCTACGGATTCAACCAGCATTTCAATATTAAAATTTAATACATTTTAAAAGATAAAACGAATTCAATATATTCATTTGTTACAAAAAATAAAAAAAAAATAAAAAAAGAAGAAGCGAGTAAAATATAATAATAAAAAAATAAGAGAAACTCATTTCAATAGCAGAGTTTTAATTAATTCTGTTAAACACTTTAATTGATTTTAACTTTGATCAAACATTTGAAAAAAAAAATATATGGGACGCTTATTTTGAAAGTGACCTAACTCCATTTTCCAAAAACATCGAGTTAACTTTCGTAATAGTTACATTTTTACATGATCTTCTCATTCTGAAGCAATTTGTTACAAATTATATTTAAAAATCATGAAAATATGGTAACAAGAAAATTTGTCGATCAACAAAATGATGAAAAGTTTATTCAGAAAGTGTCCTAACTTCATTTGTCAAGTATTATTTTCCAGTTGCACGTGGTTATTGTACAATTTCATGTTATGTATCAATAAAGCCTTTTGAGATTGTTTATATTCCGAGTAAATATAATAATACTATATTGTAAATAAAATGAGACAACAAGATTTCGTACCAACAAAATTATTAAAAGATGCAATTTTGAAAATGGTAAAAAAATTCTGACGAAAAATCAATCAACCGGTTAAAAATATGTTGGATGCTTTTTGTCAGATATAAAACGTATCAAATTTTCTATAATACATCAATGAATGTGAGTGAAAATTTGCAAATCCTGAATTGATTACCACGTCAGGATAGACGAAAAAAGTTCGAAAATATTGTATTGATACTACTATATAAAAAATCAGACAAATTACAACAACAAAATTCAAGGACATATTTGACATATTACGATATGTATCACCGAAACATCATGATTTCTTCAAATCCCTTTCACACACAAAATGTAGACGAGAAGTAAATTATTTTGTAGATTAGTTGTGTAATTTTGTAACGTAATGTAGTTAAAAAATCTTTTGAATTGCATAAATTATGTTTCTGAAGTGTTTTTAAATATATGTAAAATAAATTGATTGTTTTTTTTTTTTCAATTTGAAGCATCCTAAATTATGTTGAATGGATTTAAATCCCTTCGAAATTTGATAACAAATCAAATTGTTGATTTAGACAATGGCCTAAAACTCCATACGCATATTATTCACTTAATAATTGCTACTATTTTAATATGAAATATAAATTGAATGCCTTTAGATACACTTAAGCAGTATAACTACTCGTTGTACGTATATTTTTAATTGCATTGAAATGCAAACCGTTCAATATCTCAATTCGAACATAAATGGAGGTAAGCTACTTTCAAAATAAGCGGCACATGTATATAAAATTGATATATCACAACACATTAACACTTTCACAACAACCACACGTTTGCGCAGTGAAACGTCGCCATATTTTGGAAGAAACACATTACCGTCCGCACAATTTGTAAACATTTTTTAGATTAAAAAAACTTTACGCAAATTCATGAAACAATTAACATTATTATTATGAATTAGTAATCAACATTATTATACAACAATATTTTCCCTTTGTGTGATAATTAATGAAACGTATAAATATAAAAATGACTGGCTTACCAATGACACCACATGAGTGTCACCAGCGTACGACGACTGGCCTGCCTATGGCACCACATTGGTGTCAGCGGTTGTGAAAGTGTTAAGAAAAAGAATTTCTCAAGTTGAAATGGAAATCAAGAAACAGAGATTGAACAAAAAAAAAGAAGAAGAAAGAATAAAATACGATTTGAAATGATGGGGAATATCGATTTTCCATTAATCATTATTCGCAAAAATACCTGACGGTTTCGTTCGTCCGTGATGCGCGAGATCTGAATCTTCTTCCGACCCATTGTTGCACGATGTCGTCGAGAAGAAAGAGTTTCTCAGAACCACTGGATGGAATATTAAAAACGCTGAAAACGAAATAAAAAAAGAATTACACGTTAGCAACATTTTCCTTAACACTTAACACATTTGCTTACAATATTACAAAAATATATATATATATATATACATATATAAAAAATATAAAATTCTCATAATTGAATAAAAAAANAAAAAAAAACAGAAAGGAAAAATGATAGAAAGAGATTGGAGAGAAGAGAAAATGCAGATTCGATTTAAAAATGCAAAGCGTATGCGACAGAACTAGACCGTCACTTGAAATTCTAACGTTGAATAGAAGGAAGGCTTTTGCACGTGTCTCTCGTCGTTCTTTTACGTATCGATTCGATATATCCTTCGGTGTGCATGCATACAAGTCAACGCGACTAGTTTACTAAAGTTTGGTAGCACTTTGAACAAAAGGCAATGTATGATCAGTCAATTTGAAAAAAAAAAAAAAAAAAATACATATAATTCTCTCTGAATAAAAATTGAAAATAAGAGTGGATCATAAATAAGAGTGGAACAGGTTTTATATATTAATAATATAAAAAAAAAAAGAAGAAAGAGAGAGAGAGAGAGAGAAGTAAAAAAAGTTACGAAAGTAAAATTAATTAAACATATTTAATTAATTTCACAAGTAATATTCCACACACCTCCATCTTTCTCTCTCTCATACACTCTTCTCTCTCCTTTTTTTGGAATCATTACGATTAAATAGCAAAGTTTATAATATGAGAAAGTAGAGAGACACGAGATGAATTAATCGAACGCGTTGGAATATTGTTGGTTACACGACCTTGAGATAATATTGAAAAAAATATAAATGCGAGAGAGAAGTAACACAAATAAAAAATCGACGTTGGTTTGTAAGAGAAAACGCATAATGATTTAACTCTGTCTCGTTGTTTTATAATCGTCGTATTAGAACGAAAAAAAAAAATATATATATATATATATATATATATATATATATATATATATACAATATGTAAAAACATCAAACCAATAAAAAGAATAGGTAGAAGTATAAAAAGAAGAAGAAGAAGAAGAAGAAAAAGAAGTATTTAGAAAACAAAGTTAACAAAAAAAAATAAAAATTAAAATACCAAAGAAGGTGGATAAGAACAAGGAAATAACAACACACAACATAGTTGCAACATTTTATCTCGTCTATCAGTTAAATAAGTAAATTGTAACTATGTATATGTTTTATCTGTAAGATATAAGTAACGTTAATGTTCCATGTAGAGTGTGTATTTACAAGTATCATTATAAGAAAGAAAGAAAGAAAGAAAGAAAGAGACAGAGATATAGGAACGTTTCTTTTTCTAATTACACGATAGAAAAAAAAAAATATGTGTCTGTGTGTGTTAGAACGCGACAGACTACTACTACTACTACTACATATCATATAAACATTAGCGCGCGTCTTTCTAACAGACAAACGACAAACTTGTTATGCTAATCGCAATAATTCACGCATGTTATTTAAATAGTTTCGCTTTTGTAACTAAGCAATCAGTTTTAATTTAGTTGTCTTCTATTTTCTACTTCTTCTTCTTCTTTTTCTATTTCTATTTTTTTTCTTTACTTTTGTAGATATTATTATTTTATCCTAATCCTTCATGTCTCGATGACAAGAATACATGAAAGTAAACAAATTGCTCTTTTATTTTTATATCATTTTTTTTTTTTTTTGTATTTTTAAATATAGATATTATAAAAATTAATTAAACGATTAATTAGTTTAGTTTCTTATTTTGAGTAATATTAGAAATTGTTGAAAAAATATCTTTTCTTTTTTTTCCTTTTTTTTCTTTTTTTTTTCGAAATTAATGAAAACTCGCAAAGCGTCAAGCAAGACTCATTTTGTTATCATTTCTAGAAGTAAAATTTATTAACTGCCCATTGACATATCAACGTGAAAATGTTAAAGGCTATCATTTTTTCCCTTACCAACGAACCGTTCTATCGTTCATTTGTACATTGTTCCTGTTGAATCATGTTCAATAGAAAGAACATCCTTTCTTTCCTTTTTTTTTTCTCTTTCCTTCCATCGGGGGATAATGTAAATAATTTATCAAAGTTTTATTGAAAATTTTTAAGACAAAGAAAAGAAACAAAAAAATAAATAAATAAAATAAGAATAATAATAACGATTGATTCGAAGTACGAGCATATTGTTTTCTCATCGTTTTTCTTCGAATGAATGAAACAATTTAAATCGACTTCTTTGTCTTTAATAAAAATTAAGATACACAAACGTTGAACGAAATGATCTCCTCCTACCAACAGAATTACGTAATCTTTTTTTTATCTTAATTACAAACAACTCCGTTGCATTATCGTATATGATGGTTAGAGAATACACATATACATATACACAAGAGGAGGACAACACACATGACCGACGACGTTGGTGATGTCAGATCGAAGAGAATGAAACAAAACAAAAAAAAATATTATTCCATCCTCTTTCTTATTTTTTTTTTTTTTTTATTCTCTCTTTCTTCCTTTCTTTTTTCTTTTTTCTCATGAGTATGAAAGTAGAGATAGTGATAATTGATCGGACCCATAAATGTAATCAAGCTGTAATAAGCCAACCATGATAAAAAGAAAAAAAAAAGCTATTCGAATGGGAATATGTTTTTTTTATTTTTTTTTTTTTATAAGAGTATATAAATATTTTTCTTCTTCTAAGAAAATATTTTTTATCTATCTATCGATCTATCTATCAATCTATCATGATAAGACAATTTTTCTTATAAGCATATAATAAATAAATTTTTATTATTCTTTTATTTTTTTTATAAATATACAACAGAATGTACTAAATATATTTAAATGTGTACAATAGATTTGATAATTCAAATTACCATTATAAAAATTCAATATTTTCTGGCTCCTATAATATAATTTAACAATTTGAAAAAAAAAATATATATATATTGCTTTGAAAATTTTAGATTTAATCACCAGACTTGTATAATAATTTTATAATACAGGATAAAAATCCAAATGTTTATTATTATTACAATTGTATAGGAATTGTTGAATTAATTTGTAAACGATACAATTTGTAATCATTAAAAGTTGGATAAAAATTATACAGTGAAATTTATACATGAAAATTTAAAAATCCAAAAACAATTCACGATTAATTTAGATGTTTGAAATCTCGTACATCACGTTAGAGAATTTATATAAACAGTAGAAAAATCGTTCTACCGTCATACAATGTTACTCTTGGAAGTGAGCCCATGCCAATCAATTTTCTCCTGTTCAATTTGGCTCGTTCTAACCTTATTTGGGATAAAACAAAGTCTCGTTTTAATTTCTTTTCTTTATTTCTTTTTTATTTTTCATTTTTGAAAATTCACAATTAAAAAGCGATCTACTTTTCATTCAATTTTATCAACAAATTTTGTCACACGTTAGAAAAGCAAAAGATAAATTAGTCCAAATAACTAGTAAAACAAATACACCCCATATATTTTTATGTTATAAACAAGTTGAATAATTTTCCTTTAAGAATCGAATAAAAATCACAAAAATGATAATATCTAAATATTTCATTGTTTAGACCGATTTGATACATACAAAATATGTATATATATAAATCCATACTTACTTAGTTCTAATATCGAATGAAAACATAAATATAACCGAAAGCACGGATATAAAGCTCTTATTCAATAATATTACTTTCTCTTTCCTTTTTTTTTTTTCTACGATCTAACTCTGTCCGCCAGTTCTAAAGGGAATAAGAATATTTATTATTTAAACAAATTACGATGATAAAAATAGATACAAATAAATGTTTAATATTGATTCTAATATTAAAATAACAAAAAAAAATATATATATATATATGTAATAAATCTACTTTTACTTTTTCTTTCTTTTTATATCCAATTCCTGTTTGATTCTGAACAGAATAGAAATAATAATAAAAACAATAACAATAATAATAATAATAATAATAAAAAGAAAAAAGAAGAAATAGTTCAACTCTAGGTTGACTTTCTCTTTCTTTTTCTTCCTCATGTGTAAAAGACCACACTCTACCATCACCACCACCACCACCACCACCACCTACCTAGTTCATAGTAAAAGAGAATTCTCTAGTATGCTACGACGTTGTGTTATACCACTCTTCTATCGAAACTATCGATCAAGAGAGAAGAGAGAAGGCTTCTCGTCGTCGTTGGTATCACGTGGGAAGAATTCAGCATGGGGGCAAAGCGCGTTCTATGATGTAGAAGCTAGACGCGCGGAGAGGAAAGGGTGAGACAAATTATTACACTTCACCGTCATTACTATGCCCTAAATGCGTAATACACGGTTCACGGTATATAGGAAAAGACCTTTCCTATACGGCAAATGAACGTCCATAAAGGCTATCCTTGCGGGTCTCTCTTTCGTAGTGATGATAACAGCACAGTTACTCTGCTACCTCTTTCTTCAAAGAACGACACGAGAAACACCCCAAACACGATACTACAATTCCAAAAAAAATCAACCCAAGTTGTGACCAGAGGATTTTCATTTTCTTTTATACATTATTTAATATACTTCGTTGATTCAATTTATTTTTCACGGTTAAACGAATATCCCGGTTTTTATCGTCATCTTGTAAATATATATATATATTGTGATAAAATTGTGTTTTGAATTTTTTCAATGATCAAAATTGAAATTATCAAAGAAAATGATTTTATTCGTGTTTCGATATATTACGAAATGATAGAGTAGTAGAAGAAGAAGAAGAAGAAGAAGAAGAAGAAGAAGAAGAAGAGGCAGAAAAAATAAAGAAAGAAAATGTTATAATAGAAATAATATCATCCATGGCAGAGAGAAAGATAAAAGATCTTATCTCTTTATAAACGACGTTCCATATCATCATATCCAACGTCGTCGTTTGTTTCGCAAATTCCTTTTGATTGAATACATTTTCCGCAAGTTAGCCCTCGCTCACACGTATCGCAAAGTTGTCATGCCGGTTAAACAAAGGGTGCGCGTTCGA